CTCGAACCCCAGCAACGGCGGTTTCCGGGAAACAGGTTACATTTAACCGGGAAACCGATTACCTACCGACCAAAAGGGCTTAATTGAACGTTGTTTAATAGTTCAAGGACTTAATTAAGTGTTTGTAAAGTACGAGGGCCTAATCGACTTTTTCGGTATAGTACGGGGGCTTATTTGATAGTTTTCCCTATATTTTGATAAGTTTTGATGCATGAGTGCATCAGTGCATGTGTTTTCGCTCGTATATTGTGCTTCTATTAATGTTTTTGTTAGTTAAAATCGCTCAATAAGAATCATAATTGAACAAGAAATATTAGTCAAATATCAAAAGTGGACAAAATGAAATGCGTTGATTAAATGTGAAATTAATATACAGCTCATAAGACTAAAACTGAAATTAATTTTGTATGAATAACAATCATAAACACGTAATTACTTCATGTTTTTGTAAATTGGATTTGATTTTCACATATCATTGCCCTTCCAACAATACTAGAGCTCAGAGAAGAATTTCACCATAAATATGTATAAGAAGGATATATGACATTTTGTGGTGGATATTTAATTTGTAGATGCAAGAATGATCTAGTTGACGAGCCACTAAGGCTATGATTGGCGGGCATAAGACTCTCTACCTTCTAGTTTTTGTAATGTTCAAAAAGTCTCTAAAAGTTTCTAGTTATATGTTTGACATGACAATTTTTAATAGTTTTTCAGAAATTAATTAAAAGATCTTTTTCGAGATGCTACAGAGAGTAGCATTTGAAAAATTAAATGTCCGTGACTTTTAGTATTAATTAGTCCTAACAATGAACTTGTATACCAAACTGAACTATATCAAACAGTCGGCTTTTCACCAAACATGCAGCTACCACATTTTCTATTTAAGATATTTTCAATCACTAAACCTAACAGTTATTACAAAGCTCACAATATTATCTTTTCAGCTAGTTGTGTCAAACATACCCTAAATATAACATGAGGCAAATATTTAGAAATAAAGTGATCTGGAAAGGCAAAAGAAAGTATGTGTATAGTTGCTCACGGATAGTATTTTGTGATCTTTTTTTTTTTGTACATTTTGTGATCTATTTTAGTGTCTGTGTGATAAATTTTAATAATCTGGGTAAACAAAATATTTAAGTAAAAGTCTATATAGGTTCAAATGAATGATATAGGTGTATGTGTACTCAATTTACATGTAATTTGAAAAAAAAATGAAAGGATAATGAAGATAGATAAATAAGTTGATTTTGTGCAAATATTAGAAAAAGAAAAGGGAGAAAGTGGGAAAAGAGAAAGGATAAGAGGAAAAGTGAGAGAATGAAATCGGTAAATATTTAGGTTTAGATTATGTGTACACCTTGTGTAAAAACATCAAATCTTATTTTAATGAGCTAACCTGAGTGGAAAAGGGACCATTCTTGATGTACACAAGATGTACACAAAATCTGTACATTGTCTGTATACACAGACAATTTGACATCAAATTCTGTCTCTTTTTAACGAATTGTCTCTGTACATCAAGTCATGTACACTAAACATTTCTCGTGGAAAAGTGTGCATTAAAGATTTGGAGTATAATAGTTTCGGAAACGGTGAAAACCACATATTTGGCACAAGATTGTGAACGACATCTTCCATCATCTGAAAATTAAAGGCAATTGTTTTTTATGAAGCACGACTCGATCTAAGTCGAAGTCGAGCTCCACGCAATTGATTAGCACATAGATCATCCTATGCCTTATTTTAAAGCTTGAAGTTAATTTTTACTTAATGCGTGCGTACATAAGTTTGTAACTTGTGTCATTCATCGTGTAATAATCAATATGATGAAGTTGAAATTACTTTATAAGTTAATAAATTAAATTGCTTAAGAGGACTATTTTAGCAACTTTCATACTAGTAAATTTTTCACCAATGATTGAGCACATTCAACCATAATTTCACCAATTTCGGCAAATTCAACTATTTATTTCTCAATCTCACCTTGGCGAATCATAATTTCACAAGTAATATCTTTGTTCTCTCTACTTCTCTACTTCTCAATCTCCAACTATTATTATCTTTAATTTATGCTCTCGGCTTCTCATTTCAAAATAAACTTCAATTCATTTATGGCGAAAGTTAATTACGAGGTTGACATTGGTTACCTCTTCCCAGCAACTCTCAATTGAACAATTAGCTCTTTAATGAGCCCACATATATTTTAAAAGAAGTAAAATTCACTTAATTAAGTTACATGCTATCAAATTTGAATTCAAGTATTGGAATGATGTCAATCTCATTTAGGCGGAAACGAACAACCAATCCTATTGAAAATTCAAAAATAGCAAACGAATATTAAGATAGTCAGATAAGAGGTTGAAATAATATAATAGGGCATGTCAAATAAACGTAAACGCAATTTTATTCCTTGGATTTCAGAATTGTTGGGTCGGCCGGCACCGGTCATTGAAAAGGAAGGGAATGCTTGTCGTCTCCACCAAATGGCTCAGAAATTAGAATAATCCACCACACACTCCACTCAATTTCACCTCTCCTTGGAGTCTTCAAGACTACTTGTGAGTTGTTACTTGTCTCACCTAAATATTTTTTTCGACCAAAGATAATTAATTATTCTCCCTATATATATGGGGGGCGTCTCACATGCTCCAAAATAAATACTCCACATATCTTATAAATAAGAAAATTACTATGTCTTTCATCATAAAAACTCAACCTGAAAAGAATAATAGATCTTAGTAGATATATAGGTAATGTACTTTATTACTCCGTAGTTTATTACTTCTTCCGTTTCAAATAAACTTCACACTTACCTTTTTAGATAGGTCCAAAATAAATTTCAATTGACAAGTTTTTAATATAATATTACCTTTATATTCTTACTTTATTATATACTTTACACTGACTTTCTGTCTCCCACTAAACTTTATGGGGTTTGATGGGAATGACAAAAGCCAAAATTCTACTTTCTAAAAAAAGTAAAATCAATGTATGAAGTTTATTTAAGGTCAAAAGGAGTTGAGTTGTATCATAAAAGCCAACCTGATAAGAGGATTCCAAAATGTTCCATACATGATCTTAAAATAATAATCGAGCGTTCAACAAAATGTCATTTGGTTAGACATTTTAGCATAAATTAATTAAAGGCTACTTTAAAATATTGCACATGGAGAACAACATGAAAAATGAAAAGTGAAAATAGTGTGGCATGAAAACTAAACACGATGGATTCCGGCAACGGTCATCCATGATTTTGACCGTCACTTGGGCCATTTTTATACCCACTAGTCACTACTGTCTTGATAGTTGATATCGACATGGATATATGTATTTATATCATACGGAGTACTACGTATTTGTTCACATTTTATTCCTATGCATATTTTAGCTTCTTTTTTCATATCAATTATGGGTGAGCAAAATTTGAAATTTCTTATCATGTACTCCCTATGTCCCAAAAATAACTTCCCACTTTCCTTAAATGGATGTCCCAAAATTAGTTTCACACTTCAATACTTTCCTTATTTGATAAATTACCAACATCAAAACAGTGTTAAACAGTGTCCAAACAGTGTCAAAAATGTTTAAACAATGCAAAACAATGCACTCCACAGTAAAGTCAAATTTATTTTCTTAAACTGTGTGAATGTCAAACTCTAAGTTGTTTTTAAGACGGAGGGAATACTTTATATCAAAAAACTTTCTGATCTGTACCACAACCGAAAGAATGTAATACTCCGTACTCTATATTGAAATGATGAGACTAATTTCTTACGGAGTATATAAAATGTTACCTTATCAAATCTTTCCTAGAATCATCCTAGAACCGCCCCATTATTTAAGATAAGTGCTACTCGTAGGGTTTTTGAAATTAATTTAGCTACTACGGAGTAATAAAAAAAATGTGATAAAGATATATTGGAGCAAAAATGACCCATTCTGGGACATTTGCGAAAAAAAAGGGGGTGTAAAAGAGGGTGGTGAGCGTGTACGGAAGAGAGTACTGAATGGGTCTCAGTGTCTGATACGATTTCTACGAATAATCAAATCACAAGAGAATCAGCAGCCAGCATCATCCCCACTCCTCACTTTCCCTATTTCCACCTCCTCTATCTGTCATCCATTTCTTTTTTTATGCTCAATCATACCAAGCTAGTGTCTATTTGATCGGTTCCATTTAGTACATAGGTGATAGGTCTCACTAATATTGAGATATATTGAGGTAACTTATTATACGGAAAAGTTAATTTAAGAAAGTAAGAATAAAATAAAAATGATTTCGAACCATACAAATGTGATCAAATTTCATATAGAATAATCTTAGAAGAATGGATCGAAAAATGAAAGATGAGATAATCAAAACGGGGCGAGGAGCGTACTGTTTTATGTTTATACTAATCAATATTTTTACCCCCATTAACAAAAGCCATTTCCAGTACTTTTAATTAGAAATGATAATATTCACTTCCGTCTTTTAAAACTTTGTATTTTCATTTTCTAGTTATTTCAGTCATTTTCCCTTTCTAGTAAAAAATTTGTGATTCCAGACATTTTTTTTTACTCTCTACACAAACCTCAATAACACAATTTTTAATTTATTAATTTTCATGTCTGTCAAATGTTGTCAAGTTTAAAGAAACGCAGAGAGAATTAGAGAAATGATTAGAAATTGATGAGTTTTTTTTGGACAAATGAAAAGACAAAAAAGACAAAGTTTTACAGAACTCGTTACATCGATGCGGAGAGTTTTCTCGTATTACCTCCATTCCACTAAGAAGTTCCCAGTTTGACTTACACACATATTAAGAAATAAACTAAATAGGCGTTACTGTTTTGACACTGTTTTGATGTAGATAACTTGTCATTTAATGGAATGGGAACTTTTTTGGACTGCTGAAAAGGAAAGCGGAAATTTATGAGTGGGATGGAGGGAGAATTTCAAGGACGATTTAATGACTTGAGCTGTGCTATTTATGACGTAGGGAGATCGCGAATAAGAATAAATTATTCTCTTACCTTAGACGAGTCTTAACATCACAAATATTAATTGTGTCACTTACGAACAAGAATTAGAAGTGACAACAATGGAAAGTGAAATTTTACACTTACAAGGAGAGATGAAAATATACGGAGTAAGTTTTGCTTAAAATAATCAATTACTCGTATTTTACTTGTGAGTGAAATGATTATATCAGAGGTAGGCTTCGATACAAGCTTTCTTAGGGACTTTGCAGATGGGGCAGGAATCAAGCAAGGCCTCGCACGATTTGCATGAACAGAGGTGCCTGCACGGCAAAAACACTAGGCACGATCCCTGCACATTGCACCTTTTGCAGATCATCATTCTCCCTTTATCTTCCACCGACGATGAATTCAACAAATTATGATGATCGCCGTCACCGTGGTGCCGCCGCCGACGACCACCGCATGATGAAGTCGCATCTTCCGCACTATTATTTCCCGACGAATTCCACACGCTCTCTCTCAAGCGCTCAAACTTGCCTACGAGAAACGACGCCGTTGCTTCCCTCTCCTTCGCCGCCATCTGCCACGTCTGCTTCTCAATCTCCAGCCGTTTCAGTATGGCTTCAAGCGCCGCCGTCCTCTTCATCGCCGCTGCTATCTCTTCATCCTTCTGTTCGAATAGACCTTTAGTTTTCGCTTCAAATTTTCTTAAGATCAGTATCAGCTGTTCCTTCCTCTGTTCTTCTAGAATAGCCTTCAACCTTTCGTTCTGTTCCAAAATCAACGACATAAATTAGAATAATAACCTGATGAGTGATGAGTTCCGATTTCCAAATAGATAATGGAGTCGATTTCTGACTTGAGATCGAATTGAATTTATTAAACAAAGATGAATAATCAACCTGTAAATAGATGAATCGATCTGTATCCCATTTCTGCTTGTCAAACTCGGTGATGGCGAAATTAAGGGGTAAATCCATGAGTTGAAAGTGAAGATGTTGAGGACTGAAACAGGAAGCATTAGCCCCTCCTCCGGCAGATGCAACATTGTTCCATAGAAGCCCATAATCAGCCTGAATGGCCATTTTAACGAATGGAGAAAAGCTCAGAGATATGTAGATTGACGAACTGACGAAGAGAAGTTTGGTGTGGTGGTTAAGAGGGAGTGGGAATGCGGTATGGAAAGGAAGTTATGTGTGTATGATTTTAACTTTAGTGTAAGAATAATACTAAGGAAAACAATTTAAGAAGGAATGCGATTAGTCCTATCAAATCAAATTCAATGAGTTGGCAAGAAGTGTATATATAGACATATAATGAAAAAATATAGAAATATAATGAAGTTCAAATAAAAAGTTGTCATTCCTGTGGAAAAATGTAAATGTCTGCATTTTTGTATTGTGGGGCATTGAAATGATGCTCTTTTCTTTTCAGTGCACTTTTGGTTCAATTTAATCTCAATGTCCATTATCAAATTTATTCTTATTTTTAACAAAAAATAATTTTCTTAATAGTTTTTATTTTTCAAATTAAATGATAACATTAAAACACTTTAAAAAAAAGTAATTTTCTATTTGTAGAATAAGCGGTCGTCTTCTAGGGTTATCCCTAGTGGTGGTTCCCGGTGGTTTAGGCCGCTTGTCCGGTGCTTGTTTTTGTTCGATTCACCATGAGTGTAATCAGTTGGAATTGCAGGGGTTTATCTAACAGGGTAACGATGCAGGGTATCACCGATCTTATTCAAACCCAAAAGCCGGACATTTGCTTCCTTATGGAGACCAAAACGCAGAGCTCGAAAGCGCAGGAGATCTTGCATCGTCTGGGCATGCCGAAGTTTGCTGGATGGGATAGCGTGGGCCGTAGTGGGGGCCTCGCTCTGGCCTGGAAGGATGACATCGATCTGAAGGTGGTATCATCGTGTGCGAATTACATAGATTGCGAGGTTAGATTGGCCGTAAATGCTCCAGTGTGGCGGCTGACGGGTTATTACGCATACCCAGACACGGTCAGGAGGCGGGAAGCTTGGAACATGCTAACTGATTTGGCTGAGAACAACACATTACCGTGGATGCTCATAGGGGATTTTAACGATATTCTATACGACTCCAAGAAAAGAGGCAATATTACACACCCGGAATGGAGATTGAGGGGGTTTCGGGAGGCGGTGTTTAGCAGTGGGTTACGAGATTTCCCTTTTGAAGGTTATGAGTGGACATGGGATTGGGGGAAAGGAAAAACTTATTGGGTGGAAGAGAAGTTAGACCGCATTCTTGTTAACAATGATTGGTGGAACATTTTCATGGAAGCCAAAGCATTGTCGGTGGAAGCACCGGCAAGTGATCATATGGCCCTATGGATACGTGTCAAACCAACACTCTATGGGAGGAAGCCGAGGACTTTCAGGTTCGAGAATATGTGGCTAAAAGAAGAGGATTGTCGTACGGTGGTTGTTAACAGTTGAAGAGCAAGCCATAATTTGTCAGTCAGTGAACGTATTATTTTTTGTGGGCAAGAATTATTGAGATGGGACAGCTGCAGACCGAAGGGTTTTAGACGTCAAATACAGGGGTGTAAGAGGAAATTGGCAGAAGTAAGGGGTCGGACTGATCCCTGGGGGACTGGAGAGTATATACGGCTTAAATCAACCATTCTTTCTCTCATGGAAAAGGAACACTTGTACTGGAAGCAGAGGGCGAAAGAGTTTTGGCTCAAGGAGGGGGATATTAATTCTCGTTTTTTTCATAACGCGGTTAAGGAGGAGGCGGAATAAAATCCATGGTCTGTTAGCCGAGGATGGTTCATGGATTTCGGATAGAGGAAGGGTGGCAGATACTATAAAGGATTACTTTACTAATATTTTCCAAGAGAATATAGCAGTAGGAATCATGGAAGGGATCCGCGATCTAGCACATGTCTCGGACGAACAGAACGCAATTCTTCTTTAGCCAATTCGCCCAGATGAGGTGAAGGAAGCTATTTTCGACATGCATCCGGACAAAGCTCCTGGCTCCGATGGTATGAATCCGGCTTTTTTTTCAAAGGTTCTGGGATATAGTGGGGGCTGAGGTAATTTGTTTATGCTCGCGCATATTTAATACGGGTAGCATGCCCCGGGAATTAAATATTACGAACATTGTTTTGATCCCTAAAAAAGATAAACTGGAAAATATGGGTGATTGGAGACCCATTGCTTTATGTAATGTTGTCTACAAAATTTTCTCAAAAGTTATTACTAATAGATTGAAAGGCATTCTGGGGGGTTTAGTTGGAGAGAGCCAAAGTGCATTTATACCAGGGAGATCAATTGTAGACAATATTATCGTGGCTTTGGAGACTCAACATTTTATTAAAAGGAAAAGCACTGGAAAGGAAGGGTATGTGGCAATGAAATTAGACATGAGCAAGGCATATGATAGAGTTAGCTGGAATTTCTTAAAAGAAATTATGGTGAGAATGGGTTTCCAGACCAGATGGGTGGATATTGTGATGCTGTGTGTTACATCTGTTAGCTATTATGTCCAGTTTGATAAAGATTATTTAGGACCGATTGAACCTGGAAGAGGTCTTCGACAGGGGGACCCTCTGTCATCATATCTATTTATTTTAGTGGCAGAAGGACTGAGTGCGATGCTTCGACGGGCTGAACAGATGGGGAATTTGCAAGGAATTTCGGTTTGCCGGGGAGCGCCTAAGGTGTCGCATTTATTATTTGCTGATGATTGTTTTTTATTCTTTAAGGCATCTGAGATGAATTGTACTGCGATTAAAAATATTCTTCAAGATTATGAGAGAGGTTCGGGGCAGATGGTCAGTTTTAATAAATCTTCCTTGACATTTAGCCCAAATGTAGGAGAACCTTTTCGCGAGTATTGCTGCCAGCATTTCGGCGTTTCTAGGAATGGAGGCCAGAGTTTGTATCTCGGGCTTCCAGCTCTTGTGGGGAAGAATAAGACAGTGATTCTTAGCTATCTTCGGGACAGGATCTTTAACAGAATTAAGAGCTGGAATAATAGATTTATATCTCGTGTGGGGAGAGCTGTTCTGCTACAGAATGTGGTGCAGGCTATGCCTAATTATGCTATGAATGTGTTTTTACTGCCCAAAGATTTATGTGATGATATTGAAAAATTAATGAATGAGTTTTGGTGGAGGGGCGCCAAATTTGAGCATAAAGGGCTAAGATGGAGGCGGTGGGAGGTGTTATGTAGGCCAAAAGAAGTAGGGGGGTTGGGCTTCAGGAGAATTAGAGAATTTAATCTAGCCATGTTAGCAAAGCAAGGGTGGCGGCTGGTCTCTGATAGTAAGAGTTTGATGAGTCGAGTTTTGAAGGCTAGGTACTTTCCCAATTCTTCTTTTTTAGAGGCTAAGGTGGGCAACAATCCATCTTTTATTTGGCATAGCATTTTTTAAACTCAAGGTATTTTGAAGGATAATGTTCGAAGAAGAGTAGGGAATGGGGTTGAAGTTCAGGTCTGGGCAGATGCATGGCTACCGGGTCCGGGGTTGGGGAAAATCACTTCAGCCAGACCGCCAGGGATAAGAGATATGAATGTAGCAGCTCTGCGGAATATCACTGGCAAAGAATGGAACAGGGAGAGGATTAATAATTTATTTAATGAGGAGGACCGTAAACGCATTTTGAGTGTTCCCATTAGTGTGCAGGATCGGCCAGATTCTTACTGTTGGGCTGGTGAGCGACATGGTAACTTTTCGGTGAAGAGTTGTTACCGGAATTTAATGGGTGATCAGGTCGAGGGAGCCTGGGGGGATGGAGCAGGTTGTGGGAACTCATTATCCCTCCAAAATTTAAATACTTTACATGGCAAATCTTGGATGGCACTCTACCAACTGTGGAGAATTTGAGGAAGAAAGGTATCCTTATACAAGGGGGGTGTCGGGTTTGTGGGTGTCCTGAGGAAACTGCGGATCATGCTTTGCGAACTTGTCCACGAGCTAGAGAAGTTTGGCGCCAAACGGGTATCCAGGTTGATAGCCAAAGGGAAAGCCTCGATCGGTGGCTGAAAAGGCATATTGATCATGCCTCGGGGGATGTGAGGGGCAGAATTATTGCATTGTTGTGGTGCTTATGGAAGAGAAGGAATAAATTGGTTTGGGATAATCAGTTCCTAGATTCGAATGTGGTGGCTCATATGGCATCTGGTATGCTCAAGAATTGGATGGAGATTAACTCACGAAGTGCGGCGGCGGTTGTTGGTCTTGCAGCCAGTAGCAGGTTAATATCAGGCCAAGGGGGAGCTGCAACGGGCCAACGGGTTGCAGGGGGGAGGTGGAGCAAACCGAAAGAAGGTTGGGTGAAGGTGAATGTAGATGGAGTAGTCAACCATGAAGAGGGTATTAGAGCTTGGAGTTGGGTTGCTCGAAATGATTAGGGTGTTTTTATTAGGGCTTATGGGGTTGCTACAAAAGCAGAATGGTCGGTGGAAGAGACGGAGGCTATCGGTGTGAGAGAGGCTGTGCGGGGAGCTTTGGAAGCGGGATGGGATAAAGTGCAGATAGAGTCTGATGCTCTTACAGTGATTCAAGGTTTGCAGAGGCAGAGGGGAGCTTCTTATCTTTCTCTGATTCTAGACGATATTAGTCACTTACTTAAGTCAAAGAGTATGGTTGATATCTCTTTTTGTAAAAGCTCTGCGAATCATGCTGCTCACGCTTTGGCTAAAGCACATGTTAATTCACCAGATCAGCAGGTCATGTATGAGGTTGCTCCAGATTGTATGTTTAGCCAATTGGCTAATGACCTTTTAGATTAATAATATTGATGCCTTTGACGATCAAAAAAAAAAATCTTATTTGGAGTAAAATATATTTGGATTTATACTCGGTATATGAGTATCGAGAGTTCATACGTTTGTATGCGTGTGATATATATGGGCAATATAATGTTCGAAGGAAAAGACATATTTTCATGAAAAGTGAGAATATTAACGTTTGATCACTCAAAATGAATGAAATCAATCATTTAAAAGAAAATTCGCAATGATATAATTGTAAATATATATTGAGTTTAGATTTGCAATATTCAATAGAAACCGTGCATATGTTTTACGTCGACACGTTGCACTACATAACGTCACTATGCATGCTCCTTAAGGCTACCAAAGAACACATGTCGTGTTCTCATTAGTTATCATTTTTGAGTCAGTAACCCATGCCTTATATATTGTCTATAAATAACATATTCTTTTTTCCCTGTCTATAAATAACATATTCTTTTTTCGGAACATTATCCGAAATAAATTATCTGCACTGTTACTCTGCTACATTTAATACACAACTTTCTCACTCTAGAACTTCTCTAATTTCTCTTTAGTTTTTTTGCTATCCCGGATCCTGTAACCCATCAACATCTTTTTGTTTCAATATCGATGCACTTTGATATTACAAGAATGAGTTGTTCTTTTATAGCAATGCCCATTCAACATTACTTTATTTTCATATAAGTTCTTCATAATTACAATTTTATCACTACATTATTCACTTTAAAAATAATCTTTGACAGATGATCCTAGCTACATGTCGTTCATAGTTTGTCTTTCCTTTTACTTAACTGTACAACTTTGTAACTTTGTTGCTCTAAATTACTTTTCATTACTACAATAAAAGTAAGAGATACGGAGTATTATTTAAAAATAGGATTAAAGCATAATTAAACTTCAAAATAGGACTAAATGTTTTGTTCTCAAAATAGTCTGGAGTACTTGTTTAGCTTTATTTAAAAGAATAAAATAATAAAAAGTTCCCTCTTGCAAAAAAATCTTCCGATGAATTCATGGTTCCTTTTTTGAGAAGAAACAATTTTACTCTTATTTGAAAAAATTCAAAATTTGATATATTTTGCTCCCAATTAGAAGATTTTTTCTTAAAGTAAAAAATATCTTGGGCATTTTATACATTTTTTTAACAAGCCCAAATAAAGTGTCACCATTAATCTGGAAGTCTGGAACGAGGGAATAACTTATAAAAGTAATGATAAGCAAATGTATACATGTTTCATGAATTTAAAAATTGTGGACAAACTTGTGCTAGGTTTATAGACATGAGGATGAGGATTTAATCAAGGTTCTAGGACAAGCTTGTCTAATAAGTTCAAAGCTAAGACAAATTAAACAAATACATGAACTTTGGAATTTATATTTCCTAAAGAATATTTTCCCAAAGCAAGGACAAGAAACAATATCCATAAAGAATAATTTTAATCAAGGAATAAGATTAAATGAAAAATAAATCGACCACAGTTTCATCCACCCCATTGACCACTGCAAGGCCCAAAGACCAGTGTTCAATGAAACCATCGCATCCCGTCACAGATCCACAGCCTAAGGAGACATATAAAATGATTATATTAACATCTAACTCGTTAAAAGAAGTTAGGAAAATAAGAGCCCCAAAAAAAACAATGATAGAAAGGAAGGAGATGCTTTCAACACTTACTTTTGAAGTATGAGGGTCACAAATGCATCTGATCTAACTCTTCATTCACTTGTTGCACTTACCCCGGCTAAGAATATATTCATAAGAGCATTAAAATTCAGAAGAAGAAGAAATAAGTTCAGTATATGCAAAATGAAAAGCAATTTTCAAAAACAAAAACCAGATCAACTCAATTACACCGTACTGCCAAATTAGTTGATTGACATCAACCCAAAAGTTTTCCATGAAGGCATCTCAGATAGTACTTCGATTGTAGAGTCTCATACTGATTTGGTTTAACAAACATCCCATCTACCTTAAGTATATCATAACCAATTCCCTAAACACTCTATTCAACCAAGGCAGCTGCTTATATCCTCATCATTATTCAATTAAAAAAGCAATTAATGACATTCATCGCCATTTTCCCTCTTTCTTCTTTTTTCATAACCACTTATGGGTATGATTAGGGAAAGTCAAGACTACTAAAAGTGATCAAATCTATTAAAGGCATTTCCACGAAAATATAAATAGTAGCAGAAGTCAGTCATGTTATATTATTTGCATGTTGGTTAAACAATATCAGTAGCAAATATTTTAACTTATCATTGCCTCATGATATAATATTTTTCTTGCACGTGGTATTGTGGTAATCATCTATATGATGGTGGTTTTAGAATTTTCTTCTCATTATCCTTCTTAAGATGGTTTTGACAGGAAAGGCAACCTTGTACAAAATTGGGACAATATAAGTAATGAAACCGACCCCAACTCACTGGGATTAAGGTCTTAATTATGATCAAATTATTTTCCTGTTTACCATCCCAAAAGAATCTTCTTATATTGTTTTAGGGAAGAAAAGTATGTTTCTTATCATTTCACTCATATCAACTCTAATCTCGACCACACATTCTCATTTTCAACCACTCTTAAAAAGTGCGTAAAATAAAAAAGAGGAGATAATTTCAAGACGGGGGAGTACTAGAACCAACCGTTCAGTGTTGAGAATATGTGATACACAAAAGTCCCAAATGCAAAAGCAGGAAACTGAAGTGAGGTTTGGTTAAACAGAAAAATATCGTGCAAACCTTACTTTTACTACTCACCTTTTTTATGAATCCTTCTCGAGATATGGCGACTAGACATACTGTTATCTACTCCACTCGCCGAAAGATCCTTCAGTCCTGAACATTGATTGTTGAAACATTGCAAGCTCTCAAACTCACAAATACTGATATCTTGATTGTTCAATGTCATACCCTCTGAGCTTTTACCTTCGGCGCCAGGATGGAGACAATAAACTTGATCATCACAATGCATATTGCAGGGGTTCAATACATATGATCCAGGCAGGGTAGGATTAGTGATCACTGGTTTCTGGTATGGAAACGACCCGATCTCACCTTCTATCCTTCCCCTAAGATCAACAAGCAAACACTTGAGCCTGGAAATCTCTGCTTCCAGCAATGCCTGGCCCTGAAGCCTCTTCAGCAGTTGTTGGTTTATAGCCCTCAACCTGACAACTTCATTCTCCAAAGAAGCAGCCCTTTCCTTCTTCTTCTCCCTGTACTTACGGACTGCTTCCCGATTGCCTGAAGGCCGTTTCTTTGATTTCTTGCCTGCATATTCTGCAGTATCATCACTGGGTGTCCTATCCTCTTCGCTTTGAGAAGGCACTATTTTGGTGTGAACATGGTAACACATGTGTGTGTGAGAGTTATCAGGCCCAGGTGGATTGCATGTGTGAGTATGAGTGCAAGCATGAGTATCACTGAGTATATCATTCCAGAAGCTACTCAGTGAACTGCTTTCAGGAAGATCACCAACACAGGGGCTTGATAACATGTCTTGGTTAGAAAATTCAAGCTCACCCTCATCCATTTTGCTCACAAATCCCTAAAAACAAGAAAGGAAAAAACTAATAATGCAAACCAAGATCAAACTATACCACCAGTCTAAACCAGAACATTAAGTTCCTTATTGCGATAAGGCATGAAGTCTTCAAGCATAAAACTTGAATTTTAAATGAAGATAATTAATTCCTAAAATAATAGAAACAATAAAATCCTAGCAATGAAATATACCTAAAAGTCGAAAAAAGAGCTTTTCACCTGGTGAGTCGTGACATTGTGACAACGAGTTCCATATTGAAGAGAGAAAAAGGAACTTAAAGCGAAATAATGAAATAAAGGTACTGAAAGCAGTAGTGCACTTAGAAGTTACAATTCAGAGATTACCGAAAAAACTATTCGAATTGTCCCGACATTTAAAAGCACCAAGAAACGACGATGCGATTTGGGCGACTAAGAAAAACCCTATGAAAGGTTAAGATGGAGAAGAGAACATTGAAGTATTGAACTGTGACAATGGCGGTCAAATTTGTATCTCTGAAATCTATGGCGATAAGAAATTAAAATATGTGCCGAGTATTTACTTACGGTGTCAAGTCTCAAGAAATGTCTTTTGAGTCTTTTCCATTTAAAGAAAGTCTTTCAAATAGAATTAAAACACATAAAAAATACATGAATAGGATTAATAAGATTATGGATGTTTTCATTAGGATTGAAATTTGTTGGTCTGGTCTGATCTGGTAAATGTCTGGTCTCTGTGTATTTTATAACTATTGAAGTCTGGTCTGGTTTGATCTGGTCCGGTAAGATCCATTTAATATTATTAAAAATATAAATCTCTTCAATTGAGAATGAATGAATCATATTTTAGAAAGAAAACAATAGTGGTCTTAGTTGTATATTTCAGTCTTAGACAAGATTGGACTGGTTTATTTTTTATTGGACTGGTTTCAGTCTTAGACAAGATTACACTAGTAAAAAAAATTAAGTCCAATTAAAAACATCTTCATCTATGAATTAGTCCTACACTCCTACTTAATGAAGTTTCTCTACCATTTATCACTCTTTCGATCTCTTTTGGGAAAGAAGTTTATGCTTTGATCCTTGCACACATATATACAGGGTTGAGTTCTAATACAAAGAGGTCTTCTAATGAAAAGTGAAAAGGATCTAAACATTGATCATTTTAAAATGGATGGAATAGATCAAAATATAATGCTCTAATCAATAAATTTATCCATATTTATCAAAAAGTAAGTTTATTGTGAAAAATAGACAACTAAAGTCATTTCTCGGATCAAATTTTACATCACATATGTACATTTTCATGGATAAGTACTTCATATTTATATATTTATCAGCTATGGGGCTTTGGAACCAAGAACCGGCAAATTGAATCAAACTGAATTGTTATGATCCAGTTCAGTTCCAACATTAATTAGTTGCGTAGTATTTATTAACGATTTGGTTCCTATTTTTATTAACGGTTCAGATCTCGATTCCTATAAAAAAATATGTGTGCGGAACTATTAAGAAACCATTATATATAATTAAATTTTTATCTATTAAATTCACTAATCGTGTTTACTTAATAGAATTGATAACACGATAAGTATTTAACCGATAATAAAAGTTGCGTTTTTTTAAATAGTTCCACATGTGTTGCCAACTGCCAAGTATTGAACCGATCCCAGGCTAAATGGTATTACATTTCAACGTAAACAAAATTACAAGATTAAAATGAGCATTTGAATAAATTACGCGAGAAAATTTATTCTCTCCTGTCTCTAAATTATTTTCCAAATTTCTTTTTCAATTAGCTCATTAAACTTTCATCTTCCCTTGTTAGTAAAGAATTTGTATTTCACCACGCTTCTTATATACGATAGTATTTCTCATTATACCGGATTGGGCTGGGTGTTTTGGAGAGGTTTGGGGGTGGGGGGTGAAGGGGTGGGGTTCCGGTTCTGGTTCTCCTAGTCCCTTCCCTAGGGAAATATTGTACAACTCTTTAGAAAAACAACCTTATTTTACTCTTATATAGAGAATCCATGTATAATCTACTTTTAAAGCAACAAAAACGAATAGTGCATAACTCAAAATGTACTAATAAGAATGAACAAAAGAAGGTTTCCATTCACACTAGCATTATATATATATAACATTATGAAGCAAAATTATGGCACTCGATGGCTAAATATAATAATTCATGAGCCACGAAGAACCCTCATCTCTTAGTAATTAACCAAAACAACACTTCAATCTAAATAAATAAATAAAATAAAAACTGGTATACATCTGATTGATAAACATCAGAAACACTAGTACAGATTGCACAACAGTGAGAGGTAAGTTCTCAGTGTGTGTCGATTTCCAACTTTTGCATCAAGTCAAAGCATCCAGTACCAACCTTCACGGGTAAGCCCATGCAAATCCTCGAAGATGGCGTCTCCAGATGATCAGTCATCCCATGAGATGCTGCTTCAACTATGAATTTTGATGCTGTTTCGAAGGACATCTTCAAAAATGGTGACAATGAATCAGCCATTCTTCCATGTCTACTCATGGATTGGTACCCACCAGTCTGGGTCATGGAGTCGGCAATCAGGCTCAAGTGACGATAATCAATCTCCACACCATAAATGCCGAAAACTGTCTTCACCTCTTTGATGATGGTTGCCCTGGCAGCTTCAACCCCATATGTTCTCAACATTGCATATATGTTATTGCTGTATATCCTATTTACATCCAGTTTATCCTGCATTTCCCAAAAGGCACCAAAATCCACTCCACCGGCTTTCAGTGCCCAGTAAAGGGGGGCGTCTTTGCTATCGTCATCTTGAAACCTCTTCACTTCATCCGATTTCTCCCCATCCCAAAGCACTGTATTTTCATCTACCTCATATTTAACCATTCTACACTGGTGGATCTTCCCAGAACTCCTTATGAAAACTTTCTTTGCAGTCTTTTGGACCACCTGTGTATGTTTCAGCTCTTTAGATTACGAATTCAGGAGAGAACTAAACCAAAGTTGAAAAAGTATAAGATCGCTGGACTGAAGTTTAAGATGAAAAAGATACCTAGGCATGCACTGTTGAACCAAAGTTGTTATTTTCTAATATAAGACTAACAGGTTATGATAAGACAAAAACCTCCCCACTTCTGAATTCTCCAACAAAACAAACTAAAAAAAATAGATTACATTATTCTCTACTAATTTCTTGAATACATTTTAGTGAATTAAGTCAGCAACCAGATCAAATAAGTATCATAAACATGAAGAATATGAATCATCACAAAAAAGGGATATTTAAATAAAGCTTAAAAAAGGCTAGCAGATACCTGTGCTAGTAAGATATGAGGATCATTACTTTTAAGCTTGAAGTGGGCTTCAAAATGTGATCCTTTCACTGCGCTGAAGATGGCCCTGTCATGTTCCTTTCTATCATATTCCTTTTCCCGCTTTACTTCAACTGTTGTTGATTTGGTCAATTTTTGTCTTGCTTTAGCCTGTTTTGAATCTCTCTCTTCAGCTTCATCATCAAACATGCTAGCTTCTTCTTCTTCTTCCATCTTATCTATTTCATCATTTTTTACTTCAGAAGACAAAGATGAGTGATCATCGTTGTCAGAATTGTCCTCGTCATAATCTACCTCATCCGTAGCTTGCTCTTTTCTTTTTTGAGCATCAGAACCAAGATCATCAGCTCCATCATCATCATCATCATCATCATCATCCTCATCATCGCCCACTGTATCACATTGGGATCCGGAGCCAGGAACATCTGCATCTGATTCATCTGATGCACCAGAATGCTGGGTATTGGTTTTGAAATTTTTTATGCCGCTAATTTTAGAAAGCAGATGCACATGATTTTGGATTGCATCCTCTAATCCCCTCATAAAGGTAGTTTTGAGGGTACGCTTGCAGTCTTTCAACGAAACAAAATCATGTTTCTTGAGCTTCACAATAAGTTTGAATACTCGAGAGATCTGGTTCTCGATAACTAAAGGTGTCATATGGACTTCCATGCTCTCAATCATGTCTGCAATGGTGACCTTCATAACTTTTGCGAGAAGAGACCGGGCATCATCCCTGAAAACAATAAACAAATGGTAGGTGGTGCACTAACCCAGACATAATCAGCGTGAGCAAAAAACTATCACGACCAGAGGACAAAACAGTCATTCAAAATCATCACAAATAATGCAATGCCCATGGAATCGCATCTTGAGCCCATTATGTTTATCATAAATGTTCTGAAGCATGAAGACACCAGCTTTTCTTTTACAGAATCATCTCTCTGACAAGGACATTTATGCCCATAGATCTTGAGCAGAGATGCACAAAAGCTTCAAGGCAAAAATAGCATCGAGAAAAACCATCACGAGATCCCATAAAAACTAATTTCTGTCAAGAAAACACATTAAAAACTAAAAATGAAGACTAACGTGTCAGAAACATTGAGGTATCGAGGAAACGGGTTTCCATATTTTTTAAATTACATAAACAGCATAGAACAATGAATTCGAAGTTTCCAAGAGACTCTAAAAAGGGAAAAGGAAATTACTAATTACTCTAAAAAGGAAAAACATGGACTCTATTCGCTGGACAACTATTACTCATTTTAAAAACAAAGGACGAAGACCTTACATTTTAGAAACATCAGGTAATCATGGTAATTGGTTTTCCAATGTTTATATATTACAAGAAGAGCATAGAACCGGCATGTCAGGGCCTATGAAGCGGTAGGGAAATCTGGCGAATCCAAGGGAATTCAGGGCAAATCCTGGCAAGGTAGCTGACCACACGGCCACTACGATTTGTTTCGGCTCTTCCATCACTGCTCTACAAGGGGGTGACCAGCAGTTTTTGGAGTCTAGTCAAAGACTGCGAACCCGATGGGACTTCAGTGAAGGCAACGACACGCTCGACTGTGATGGTGGAAGCTGCTACAGAGACAACAGCTCACAAGTCACAAGAGATCCAATTGCCCTCAAACGGCCGGGTCTCATCTCCAGCAGCGATGGGACCTCAAATCCGAAGCTTTTCCCAGTGACGGCGACGGAGGACCTGCGACCAGATGGGGTCAGTTCAGGGTCGGTGGAATTGATCGGCAAACTGCGTCTCGATTCCTAAGGTTGCAAGACCATCGGTTAGACTGCTGCTACGCCGGTGAGCTATTGGTCGATGATGGCTCCAACTTCTGATGGCAACCAGCGAATCCATCACACCTTAGGAGGATTTCAGCAGTCCGTCGGCAGGCAAATGCCTTTCGGCTCCCACCAGTCCGGAGATTATGTTCTAGGCAACGTCCAGGAGTCGTAGGGCTGGGATTTAAACAATATCCAGATTTGCGACGTTGTAGAGCCAAGTGCAGACCATTGGAAAACCAGGTGTGGCAGTTCACACCACAGCGCAGGGAGCAGAGAAACTTCCCTTTCCATGGGAACGAATTTTATGGTCGCTGGAACCACAGGATCAATTCAGAAAGACCAAGGGCTACAGAAGTTTTAACAAGGCGGCGTTTTTTTCTTAGATTTGTCCACTAGAATAGCAAAGGTTTTTTTTTAATTTCGAATTGGAGGAATTAGATGACCGGAAGAGAACATCAGT